TGTATTCAGCTCTGCCCCCCGCATCATATCGCTTATATTTCCAAGACAAATTACAGGTTTATAGGAAATCGATTAGAATTTCCTGTTTTATCGCCGGTGAGTGGCTGATCATACATCAAGCCGGCAGCGAGCTGATGAAGATCACCGCCGGTCCTGTGATTTGTTTGGCTTCCTGCGTAGCCCTGAAATACCGGCGTATATTTAGATTTCTAAACGCCCCGCTAACATAACTTAGCAGATGTTGGGCAGTCATATGGATGTTGCTGTAACAGAGACCCCCTCAGGTATTCTCATTATTCTACTGCTGAGCAGATGGCAGGGAAACTTACCACACTCACTATTATCCATCATACATATTCTGCACCCAATTTACATAGCTGGAGCTTTGCAGGAGCTCCTGGAGGGAGAGTCACTAGCTCCAAGATAGCACTGCGGCTCCACCTGAGGCCTGGGGAGACAGTCTGAGATGTCACTGCCGCTGCACCTCAAACTCAAATATGCTAATGGATGTACAGAGGAATTCCAATGGGTGCATTCCAGCTGTATGTTTTGGAGGAAAATCAGCAGCTTTTTATTTTTTTTATTTTTTATTTTTAATTCATGATTTGTTTCATCACAATACTGTGATCTATGTTTACACAAAAGGCAATGTCTTAAGACACTTCTTTATTACTGTTACGTACTTATTATTCAACTTTGCAATTAGAAAATTTCCCTATTTAAAAAACAAAATAGATAAACATAAAAAGTTTATATACAATCATCATTGTGATAATTCTATTCAATCCAATTCCAAAGAACTTTATTTATCCTAAAGGGAAATTACATGTCATAGTAATTTATATCATCCAAGTATCATCAAAGAGTTGTGGTGATGGGTGCTAGGGTGGAGCAGGGGCAAAGCACGACCCATCTACTGAGGACTTAGTCCAGGATAATGACTGTGATTTTTCTTGGCAGCGGTTGCAGATTCAATTCCCAGCCTGGCGATATTTGCCGCACATCTTCCCCCTCTCTCATTACCCTCTTTCCTGTCAAATTACTTTAAAATAAAGGCCACTAGACCAACAAAACCTTTAAAAAAAAAAGTTGTGGTGAATGCAGGATATCTCGTACCAGTCAGTTTTGCGATGAATCTGAAGAGGCCTCTGACTCAAGACTGTTGCTGCATGACAGGCCCATGTTACTGTCCTATGGACATATTTCATTAAAAAAAATCCTTTCATTTCAGTGACTCCATCAGCAGCTATGATATTCCACACTAACATGTCCTGGATGACACCATCCATTGTTGGCTAGCACTGCTAATCCATCTCATCTGCTTTAACCATTACCATTTAAATCTCTATCTATTAACAGGTTATAAAGAAACCACACACTTTTTGTAAACATAATCAGGCTCCTTGTATAATTCTGTCTGCATGTTTGATAACTCCTCTTAATACCACAGGTAGTGTCTATTTAAACTGGCAGGTTTCCCTGTAGAGGTCCAGATTTTGCTCAATGAATTTCAGTTTCTCATTCCAGAAACTTAAAGTTATTATATTCTAAAATCAAGTTTAAGAAGTTTGTTTGGGGATAATTTTTTTTTTGTTAAAGCAATTATCTCTATCCATTAAATGTGTTTTTCAACCACTTAGCTCACGGGTGACCAACTCCAGTCCTCCAAACTCAGTGTCCTGCATGTTTTAGGTGTGTTCCTGGTCCAACCACAATAAATTAATGGTGGCATTACCTCCTCAGTACATCATTTGCAGAGGTTTAAGGGGAACATCTAAAACAAGTTCTTGAGAACTGGGGGTGGTTGATGATTTGAGGGGACGCTGCAGAACTTGGAGGATGTCTTCTGTCTTAATAATTCCTCTGGCTGTGAAACAGGCCCTCAGCATGATGCAGCTGCCATGCAGTATTCTTTTTGTCATGATGATTTTTTTTTTCTAATCTGAGGGAGGCAGTATAGCTCAGAGGGTTGAAACTTGGCCTCAATTGGGTGTTTCTGAGAGGACAGACCCCAGACATGACCCAAAACTGATTTTGGAATTGATAACTCTTGCATGGCCCACACACCAACCCAACTAACAATGTCTGAAATTGGCCTAAAACCCAAATCAAACAAATTTCAATGAGCTCTCCCTTTTGATGATGAGAGGGGTGGTCAGAGATTCATCCAGGATATTGACTGTGACTTTTGGTTTCACAGTCTGTATTAACCAACACTATGACTTGGAAAATTGTTCTGTCAGATTTAAAACAAAGGAACAAACAGTAATTGGTAATTTGAGCTTACAGTACCGCTTGTCTGACTTATGATCACCCCAACATTAGACTGATTGTCTAAGTTGGAATGCAGTGATTTAATATACTTTAGTTTCCCAATGTGTTATCAGCACCATCTAAATCAGATGTTCTAAATAAGCAGCATGAAGCAGAGTTCAAGCTAAACATGATTATGTTTCATCACTGCTCATTTCTATCTGTTGTGATCTTAAAGGATCCGTCCTTTAACTGTTTGGACCCTTGTAGACAGTCACATAGTAAATTTACTCTGTTTGGCAGTGCTTTTCCAAAGAGGGGAGTAACAGCTAAAGTTAGAAACATGTACTATTTGGAGGTTAGAAATAGACTCACAACAAATTCTTCAATAAATTACATGCAAAGCCCCCTTACATCAACTGATACCTGATTGGCTGAGTCAGGGCTTTCCTGCAGGAGGGGGGAGACGCACACTACTCCAAATTGCACACAGACTGTGCTGATTGCTGGGAAACAGAAGACTGTCCAGACTTTAGTTTAAATGCAAAATAGAACCTCCCGGTGTTGTGATAAGTAAGGAGAAAGATAATTAAGAAGAATGGTCAACAGCTTATAGAGTTTATCATTTATATGTTTTAATAATTGCTCAAATAATAATTTCAGGCTTTAGACGCTGTTTGAATGGCTGGCTCTGTTCTGTGTAAAATACATAGGATTTGGATTTGGTGTGAATGATTCTTTCTGACTGCACCTGCCAAAGTATCCTCACATAACGCTATACTGGGTTAAATTATTGCGCATGATGGAACGCTCAGCGGTGCACAACACTCAGGGCAAACTGCTTCACCTACATCCTCTCATCATGCTGATAAGATGATAAAAATAGTGATGGTCTTTCTTCCTGCAGAAATTTTTCATAAATATGGAGAAATGCTGCAGATTGTGATGAAAACATGGAGACCTAATATAGTGCCAACATAGAGCTGTGATAGGATTGTTGGGATAGCAACAGGACAAAAAACATTTGTGAGCTCCAATATGTAGCAATGTGTCACGATTGCCATGAAAAAGTGTTCACCCCCATTTTAGATTTCTGCTGCTTTTGTCATACAATTTTCGGATCATAAAACAAATAATTTTTTGAAGATAATTTGACTAAATCTAAACTTCAGTTTTCAAATAATGATATAAGAAGAAAACAATGCATGCAAACCAGAATTTCCTGAACAATTTAGCCCAGGTTTGGCTTGCAAGTACTATATGATGAATTAAATATACACTGCAGATAAACAGGAAGTAGTTTAAAAAAAAATAAGCGGTTTTCTTAATCATATAATAAGGTTATTAAAATACAAATATTTTTTCACAAGGGCTAAAATAGGTGAACGACCAAATTCATATTGGTCCTGCTTTGAATTGTAAAGCAGGATGTGCAAGATTGGTCAAAAGCCTAGAAATGGCCTGCAGGTGGTCCTTTGGGCTCCTGTGGTTAAGTCAACGTCTACCTTGCTTTAGAAGGTCATCTGAGATTGGAGCTACGCAGATGATTTGAGGTGCCAATCTATGTCAGATAATTTAATAAACAAATAAAAATAAATGAATATATTGAGGAGGCAATGTTATTTTTCTGGCTGATTCATTCATTAATGCAGTTGAGCTTCAGTGCAAAAGTCAGTCAGGAAAAAAAATTCATTTATTTAGCAATAAGTTTGTATTTGCATTGTCCATGAAATGGGACTCAAGCAGCAGTATGATTTAACCAGCAGCTAATTATGACTGTTCACACAGCTATCAAATTGTATAAGCATTTTAATCTTAAATACATTTAAATGTTGACAATTTTTTTTATGTGTGTGTTTAAATGCAGCAACAAACTTAATATTTTGAGATCCACATTTGGTTTGAGAGGTCAAGTGCTCTTGGGGGCCCTCTGCTGGCCTGGGTCCCCTAAGCAGCTGATTTGTTTGCTTGTGCCTTGGACTGGCCCTGCTCCCTGGAGTCAGGGAGTGGACCCCGGTGGAGATTGAGGAAATGTTTCATTGGGCAACCCTTTTTTTTAACAATATACGTTTGCTCTGTTTGAAATCATTTGTAAAATTAATTGATAAAAAATAATTTGTAAAACCCCTACTTTTAGCCCTGCACACATGAAAAGCACTGTTGCCTGTCATCCAGTCCAGTGATTTACAGAACACTGTTCAGACTTTAGTTCTACACTGGAGCTCCTTTTTCCATCCAACCCTCCTCCTCCTTCACTTCTCTTTTCCCTTTGAATGGCTCTTGAGAGCGCAGCGGTTGTGAGGCAGCGCTGGGCCTGAAGGGCACTTTTCAGCCTGGCCAGACACACTCGGGTCTTGCTGCTTGGCTGCGCAACATGGGTCACCGCCTTACATTAGGAGGACCCTGCCAAAGTCAGCCAAGCGGAGCCCTGCGACATACCTGGAAATGAATGGACAAAACTCCAACAAAGCAAGCTGACTGTAGGATTTGTCTGCAGTGTTTACATTACTGATATCAAAAATGTGTTTTTCATCTGTTATGTGTCTCATTAGTCGAATTATTTTCTAAGCCATAAATCTTCATCTAGCTAATATTCATAACAAATTTGGAGGGTGGCCAACAGCTCTGATTGGTGCACCTCATCTTGGCACAGTGTGGAAATTAAATGGCCTCGTGTGGAGGGAGTGCGGGTTCTGCTGAGGTCATAAGAAGGGTCCCGGTCGCTGTTATTTACACCGAGTTCACGCTCTATCCATCAACAAGCCTTTTTTCCTCCCCTGATCGCAACGTTATGCGGCCACACCGGAGCGTCTCCTCTGCATCCAACATTCCGATGATCTCGATGCTCTTCGAGGTGGGGCTAAATCCAGCGCCTTTCCAATCACGTCGCGTGGGCGGAGCCTGACTCTCGTGCTCTCTTCGTTATGTCGCCGCCTGCCCAGCCTGTGCTGAACATGACAAAAAGCGAGAGGATGGAGCGGGTGAAGTAAATCCCTGCTGTTTTATTCCTCACAGCCACTTTTCCTTTCTTGTTTTTAGAAGACGGAGCGGGGTTTGGATACAGGAAAAGCATTAGTAGTTGAGAGCAGCTGTCTGTCTGGTTTAGACTCGCAGCCCACAGCAGTTCAGATCAGATTTCACATTCAGCTTCGACCAGCTCAGCTGAGGGAAGCAACCAGAGAGGCTCGTTGCTCCGCGCTCTCCCTCTCTAACGCCACCTTTTTTCTTTTTTTTTTCCTCCCCTGTTGGCGGAGTGTCTCTAAAACGCTCATAGGAAGAAATACCAGGATTTATTTACCCTCTCCTCCGTCCTCCCTTCTTCTCCTCCTCTTCTTCTTCTTCTTCTTTTTTTATTTTTTTTTTTACTGTATTTATTTTTACAGGAAATTATCAGCGTTGGCGACAAATAGAATTAGATAAAAGAAATAAAGGGTGGCCGAAGACATGGACGAGCAGCCGAGGTTGATGCACTCTCACACGGGGGTAGGCATGGCGGGGCACCCCGGCCTGCCGCAGCACTTGGAAGGCACCGGAGGAGCCGACGGCGACGGGAGGAAGCAGGACATTGGAGACATTTTACAGCAAATTATGACCATCACGGACCAAAGTCTGGACGAAGCCCAGGCCAGGTAAGAGACTTCTCGGTTTGGTGTCAGAGGGAGGCGGCGGGAAACTGGAGCTTATTTTTAAAGAAAGCAATAATAGTACATTTATCATATCTGTGCTATATTTATAAAGAAAGCACAACTTTCAACTAATTAAATTTCAAATATAACTTTAAACTATAATATTAAAGCTAAAGGTCGAGCTCAAACCCACAATTAAAAATATTTTTTTAAAGAATGGCGTTTATTGGCGACGTGTCGCCAACTTTAAAAAAGGACTCTTTTTTTTCGAAAATGCAGCTCGAAAAAGCTGCATTTCTCACTTTTTAGTCATGAAACATATCCAACGAGAAACAATGTACCCTAACCGGCAATATACTTTGCTATAGATGACACAAGATTGAGTTTTAAAAATGTCATCCATGTTGTTTGTCCCTTATAAAAGTGAGTGAAGCTTGAGGAATCACTTTGAAGTTGTTGCGCGGTTTCATAAAAACACACAAACGAATGGATAACAGGTACACAACCTAACAGTATTTGTATTTTGTTAAGTAGGAGAAGGAAAGAAATTAAGAAAGGCATGAAAATATGTATATTTATCTGTACAACCTAAATATGTTTAAAATTTGCCACTTTTGAATGAGGCAATTTATTCTAGAAGCAGAGTTAGATTGTAACACCCTGAGTGCTGGCTGTAGCCATTGCTAGTTAATTTACGTCAGACCAATATAATAAAATACTACATAGCTTCATTGTTCAAGCTTGTATGTTCACCCACCTGTTCATCTTCCATTTAACTGTTTAATTAATAATTTTACTTACATTGCTTCCAACACGTAATAAGTTTCTAGTGTTTAGACTTGTTTTATATATTAAACCAAAACTCTCAAATTTATCACTGAAACAGTTTTCACGCATTTTCCAGCCAATTCTATACATACTCACTTACACAACTAATAATCTCTATTTATTCTTGCATATTTTTTATATTAAGAAGTCATGGGTTCAGTTGGGAAAAAAAAGAAGATTATTGTCCACTCAAATCTTTGTACAGTTTTTCAGTGAGTTACAATTTTAATAGAACTTAGCTAACATGTAATTTAGGATATTTCCATTTGTCAAACGTGCTTTTTTTTTTTTAAGGTATTACAGCATCAGCAGCTAAAACATTATGATCAACATCATTAAAATGAGTAGCGCAGAGAAAAAAAACAGCATTTTCAGGTTGTTGAAACTCTTCTGTGTATCTCACGGATTAGAAGTTGGAACTGTTTGCAAATTTTCTTCAAGCAAGATCTGAAATGAAGCCTGGCACTTAAGTTGATTGTATTAGTGGAACACTTGTTGTTCTCCTAGAGCATAATATATGCACACTGAGCTCTTCTCCATTCCCCAGACTTGAGGTCTGTCTCTTTACATTTTTCCTGCCCTCAGTTTTTGCTCACCAAGCCACCTCTCTGTTTCAGGAAACACGCTCTCAACTGTCACAGAATGAAGCCGGCCCTTTTCAACGTTCTGTGCGAAATCAAAGAAAAAACAGGTAGGTCCGATCAGCTCCCACGTCGCCACATCACACTTTGCACGGCCAAGAGCCGTGCAGCAGGTACAGCTACGCGGCGTGCGTTCCCTCCTGCAGCTGTTCAGCACTAGAAACCTTAATAAATCCCGCGCCATAACATGGAGGAAGTTTCTACAGCATAACAGCGGAAAGCAGCGAGCTGGATTGTGACACACACGCTGCTGTCTCCCCCTTGTGAGTTAACTGTCAAGTCTGCTGAATACGTCTGTCTCTATTATGTTTTGTGTCTCTCTATTAAAGCAGTTGTGAAGCAGCATGTCAGCAGAATAATTGCTTTGAGAGAAATAACATACAAGACGTAAAGTCATGTTCCCAGAGCCGTTTCCACCTTCTCCTCACCCCGTGATATATTTTTTATTTTTTTCCGGTGAAATTGTTGCACTTTAGTGTGATCGTGTCTTTTACTCCTCCGTCTGCGACAGCGGTAGAAACTTCCACCGACGAGATGGAAGTTGCTTAAGTGTGCCGGCTTGCTCTCGGTGTGTTTCACACTCATCGGCGCATGAAATCTAACCGAATGGGTGGAGGCCGAGAGGGAGGGTCTCATTGTCTGGAAAGTTGCACATACTTGACCTTTTGGGGACGTTGGTGGCTGTTTATGTTGGTGATCTTCCGTCACCTGGTGCTGTCACGGATGTTTTCATCAGAGCTTATTTTACTGCCTAACTAAACTCCCCTCCCCTTCCTCTTCCCACCTAGCCTGGCAGTTTATCTTGACTTGGCCGCAGCCTCATGAGAGAGAGAGAGCAACAGGGGGAGGAGGTGTGTGTGTGTGTGTGTGTGTGTGTGTGTGTGTGTGTGTGTGTGGGTGCGCGCGTGTGTGTGTGTGTGTGTGTGTTTGTCTTTTGAAGTCCGCTGCTTCTCTCTTCTTTCTGTTGTCTTGGTATGTTTTCTGGAGGGGGGAGTGACACAGATATGCGTGATGTTTCACTCCCTGCAGCTCGCCGGGGTTCACCCAAAGTTCGGCTGAGTGCAAAGTAACCTGGACAGCTTCCTGCCTTCCCGTCAGCTGGTAACCTATTAACACAAGGTGCGGCTAATTGGAGATCCGGGCCTTGCTTGTCGTCACGTTGGAGCCGACTTCTAGGTGGAAGTAGAAAACGTTCCTGCAGTTTTATGCCGGTTCCTCAACTCAGGTTGACGCTGTCTGTTTCTGGATCTCCTCGTCTGTCTTCTCAATAATATCTTTTTTCTTTTTTGTTGGTGTGATTCAGTAAGGCAAAAAAGAGGGAAATGGTCTCAGTACTTTAGATTTAAAGTCAATTTGTTGATTATAATTTTCTGTGTTAAAAACCCCAGCAAATGCTTCTTTTAAAGACAAATTTAGAAAAGCTTGGAAAATAAGTCAACAAAATAATTTGTTTTCTTCTATTTTCATGACTAAATGATGAAAATAAAAATGAATATTATCATTTCTTACATGTGTGAGGTATTTAAAATACATTTTTATGGATGCAGGTGACTTGTTGCTACTAGTTCGGTTAATTTTCTAATTTATTCACATGAATATTTTTAGTGTATTTATTCATATAATTTAACAGGTGTGTTATTGCTGCTTCTGTTATTTCCTGCCATAGAGTTATTAGCAGTAGATAAGTGAAGCTGTTGCTCATTTAATCAGATCGGTGTGCCGCTTTGCTATCAATTCAAACGATAACATTGATGCACTTTTGAACGTTGGTGTTAATGCTTAGACGTCCAGTGCCAAAGGGACTGAATAGTCTCCCCGTCTCCCACCTATTGCTGTGCTCTGCCTGTCAGCTGACTGAAAGATGGCTTTACTTACAAGAAAAACAAATTCCATATTCCATGACATTGTTATTTGATATTTTTGGTGGGTGATGCGGACTTAGAATTTTATAGGAATATTTTGTGGAACTGTTATGATAATGAAAAAGATTATGATAAAAAAAACCCCAACAATTTATTGCTTCTTCTCTTTTAGGTAACTGTATGGCTGTGAGTGGATGGCACATCATTCATATCACCACAAACATATTGATTGTTCTTAATAAACATTCCCATTTGAAACAGTCTTCATCAGAACACCACTTACTTAAAAATGTGATTTATTTCCCTGAGCTGCACTAAGTAACTGCATTTAATCATGTTTTTCAATTTACTGATATTTATTGCTGCTCTTGTAGTGGAGAAAATAGTAAAAACAGCATTTCCGATCATACTGTCAGTTTTGTTTTTTTATTTACTGTAAATAACTGAAATTTATCATGACAACGCATGACAACGATAAATCAAAATTCTTACCATGATGATAATTTTTTCAAGATAAACGATACAACAATTGACCACCTATAATAAATACTGTGATCTACCTGAGTTTCTAACTAGAGGTGCAGAGAAAAAACATGATTCTATAGAGAATCACAGTTCATAGTCCTGGGCACCCAGAATCGATTCAAATGTTCAAAAATCATCAGTAAATTCCTGTCAGGTGTTCGTCTTCGTCATCTTATCATTAATCCTTAGCAGACAATTATCTCTTTAGAATAATAATGGCACTAGGTCATACGCAACTTAAAGAAAAAAAAGTTTTATTTAATCCTCTGCTGTATTTTCTTTGTAGATGTTTTTAATTTCCAAAGCTCCTACCTATTTATAACATTTCTTAACACAAAAACACGGTGGGGCAGCTGGTGGACTGTAGCGCCCCTATCACCAGGCTTATCTGGATTTGTGGGGGAAACCTGCATGCTACTGAGGAATATTATCTCTGCTCCCCGGATACTGAGCTGTTAGCATGTCATGTCATATGAGACACATAGCAACGGACAGAGGTCTCTTCAGAAGTGACTGCTTGACTGAATATACCTGGGATGATCTAAGTTATGACAACATTTTTAATTTGAATGCCGGGATGACCAATTTCTTGGCCAGCTGATTAATTGGTGTCAGTTTCCTTAATTTTGGGAGATCAGTGATCAGCTGATACTTAACATGTTAAGCTGATTTTATCCCCCCACTTATCTAACTCAACAAATGTCTAAAAATCAGACACTGTCATCTTTTGCTCTGCCATGAGACAGATTTGACTGACAAACCGGCTCACCAGGTCATGTCTGCATGCTTGCAGTTAACAATAGTAGCCCAACTTGTTGTCAACTCGGCAACTTTATTGCTTTTTTCAGAAAAAAAAATTGGTATCGGCCAAAATTGGAATCAAGCATTTTAAACATCGGTAATCGGTGATCACCCAATCGGTGCATTCCTATTTGAATTACAATGTTGTGAAGCATAGTATTTTTACTAAAGGTCATGTGACCTCAGACCAGCCCAGCGCTCTGCAGACGTGCCGTGTAAACGGAGCGGTGGCAGTGGCTCATCCTTTTCGGGAACGCTCACCCCGCTCTCTGCCCGGGTGGATCTTCCATCCCAGCATCACACAGTGCCAGCGCTGATCTTGAGTCTGAACTTCTGACCTGTGCTGTGTATATTTTTTTTTTTTGCTGGGTTGAAGCGGGGAAAAGCCGACAGAACCGCGGGGGAGTGCAAACAAGCACAATAGGGGAGGAAAGGCGAAGGAAGGAACACTTTATTTAAACCACGGCCATCCCGTGTGAGTGTGTGTTTCTTTTCGGCAGACAGCGGTTACAGTTCGTCTCCAACGGCTTCATGGATGTCGTTTTGCTTTCGCCATGCAGCTTCAGAATCAAAACGTGAAGCTGAACCCAGCAGTTTATAATAGAAAATCCCTCTGCTCTGATTCTATCAGACACCTTGCAACAACATTAAACCTCTTCCTCACTGCTCTGCCAAGCTGACAGCCATGAAGGAATCAAACAATCCCTCCATCACATATTTTCAAGTTATGTTTTGTCTCGGTCCTCCCCCCCCTTCCTCCCCACCACCTTTTTCATGATTGATGAAAAGGGCCCTTTAGATAAGCAAACGGCTGACAAACTGATTTGGAAAATGAGCCGCTTTGACCTCTGTAAACACTTCGTCAACATCATAAATCTTGAGCTGTGTCAAACAAACCCACTCCTTGACCGAGCTCACTCTGCTTTGACTCTCTGTTTAGTTTCTTTCCTCTCAACCTCAACAAAAGGCCGCCTTTCCCTCGTGCCGTGCGTGTTTGTGTAGCGCACGGTTTCAAGCCTAGGGGATCCTCCAGTTAGGAGAGCGACCAACCGAGTGATGTAATGTTATTTTTTGGAAGGGTGAAAATGGGGTGTTTTACAAGGTGGTAGGGGATAATGTTTGACAGGATTAAAGGAGCCAGAGGTCTGATTGTGGAAGGGGGGTGGAAGCCCTGGACCGCTAAAGTCTCGCCAGGCATGGCTGGAATCTGTCTGCTTGTGTTACAGCCGCTGATCTCGGGACAGTAACGAGTTGCCCACACGGCCATCGGATGTGAAGCTACATCAGGCTGGTGACTTTATTAGCAGCATGATTGATGGAGAAGGAGTTGTTGTTAGCAGCATTAGGGAAGGAGTCATTTAAGTAAAAAGCTTTAGTACATGGTTGAAATTGTGGTTTTTGTTTGAATCATTGCTGTAGCCATTGATTCAAACAATGAACCAATGACTACAGCATTGATTTATTGTTTGTTTTCCAATGATTTATTTTAACTAAAAATACACAGATTAGAACCTAGTGGTTCATATTCAAGATCTTTAACCTGAAAAAATTCAAGGTGTTAATGCATCTCTAAAAAGTCTTAAAAAGTCTTAACCATCACTATCTACAGTAACTCTGAATGTGAATTAATTTTAGTTGCAACATCATTTAATTTCACTTTGAGATCAGTAAAGTATTTTTTAAATTTGAACTTCATGTATTTAAAATTAAAACCTTAAAATATCTTAAATTCATTTAAAAAAATGCAAGTTGGCCTAAAATACATTTATGAATGGTCTTAAATTTTGTCATGGCAGGACTATTTAATCTCATGTAGTTTTGTTTTTTTCATGGGACTTTTCTGTCAGGCAAAAGTTTGGGCC